CGACGACGATGCGGAGGACGAAGATACACGGCCGGATCCGGGTAGGGACGCCCGTGACCCCGCTGACGGGCCCGCCGCGCACGCAGACAGGCAGCAGTACCTACGGCAGGAGGTGCTGCGCAGGGCCGAGGCCACGGCCGCCAGCACCAGCCGGTCTCTGTCTCTCATGTACGAGTCCGAGAAGGTCGGGGTCGCCTCTTCTGAGGTGAGCCTGGGGCACGACGGAGCTGAACTGGGCAACCTCTGCGTTTTCAAACGCGGTCGAGAAATGTTTTTTCCTTATCTTTTGAGAACCCTCAAATTGCTTACTAGCAGGTTCTTATATTTAGTGACTTGATGGTTTGTAGTAATGTCTTAATCATGTAAAGAGATGTGTTTGTGGAGTACTGAAAGGGACGGTTTACCTCGGAAATCTTTCTTATGTATTACTCTGCTTAGTTTTTTCTTCCTCGATATCTAGTTCAAACATCAGGGCCTGTTTTTTCTACATAATTTCTTGCTTTAGACCATTCTTCTGGAGTGACCCAGAAAGAGTAGGGGCTGTGTGCTGCCGGTGTCCGGCAATGAATGGGCTTCACCGCTTCTCCACAGCACCAATAGGGATGTTGAAGTCACCTCTGCCTAAGTGCCTGCTGAATGATCCAGAGCCTCACTTTGGTTGACACTAGAGCCTAACCTTTATTTCCCAAACCCTACACAGACAACATGTGGGTTGTGACAGTTTCTTGCTCCAGTTCGTCTTTGTCAAGTCTTTCAGCTTAGGACTTTCAGTGAGGATTATTCTTACACACCACATTCCCTCCTCGGCCCACTAATAAAACGGCATTGTTTGGGCAAAAAGAAAAAAGAAAGTTGTTTTGATTTCTTTAGTCAGGATTTCACTGCATTGCCAGACTGTCCTGAGATCAGAGATTTTCTCCTGCTTCAGCCTCCGAAGTGCTGGGATTAAAGGCGTGTGCCACACTACCCAGTTTGGGGAAAAAAGCAAAAAGGCTTAGCAAATGTAAGAGATTACTGATATATCAGCTAAGAATAATTGTATTTTGAAATGTAATGCTTGAAATTAAGGTGTTGTCATCCTTCTTAGGTCTCTTCATAACTCTTCTCTGACAAAGTTCATTCTCATCTGATCACTCAGAGTGTTGGACAGGTGTGAGTGCATAGATTCACTTCTCAAATAGTCTATCTATCTATGTCATTTCCCCATTGCTGCTTTTGAGGTTATTCCTTTCCTCACTTCTCTCCGATAATATTATCCCTCATTGATCTACTTTCCTTTCTTTAGTCTTGAAGTTTTGCTTGTAGTTCTCATATCTCCTAGTTTCCTATACCCCAGGCCAAATGTAAAGAGCTGCCTTAGATTTGGAAGGATCACCTGAGGTTTTAGAGCCATCGTGAACTTATCACTTGATTGAGGAAACCAAGCCCAGGGAAGTCAAGTAAGAACTATTTGAAGAGACATCTCTGGAAACTATAAGGAAAAAAGTGAAAGTAACAAATAAGAGTGATATAAATTAATCTATTGTAATAGAGGATGAACTTGAATCTGGCTTTGAAGGCTGAGAGGCTTAGACATGAGGAGTAAGGATGAAGGATCCAGGGGTGAGTGAGAAATATGTGAATGTATTGGCCCAACAATGGGGCTCTAGAACTCCTGTCAGGCAGGACATGATGGACAGGTGTGCAAAGAAACAGGAAAGGGGGCATCTTAGGAGATTTTGGAAGTCAGAGGGAAAGGTCTGTTCTCATAGCTTGGGAGAAGCAGAAACACAAATGTTATATTTATGTAATAAAAATTGTGGTTATGTGCCCCATCCTCCTCCAAAGTAAGGACTGTGATCACTGAGGTGGGGTGGCACCTCTGACACAGGGGGCTTAACTTGGGTGTTTCTCAGTAACCAGACAACAGTCTATCTCACCAAGGTGATTACACATAGAATTTTTCCAGGACTAAATCAGTTCTCAGTTATTAGAGACCCTGGGAGTCAGAAATGAGCTACTCCCTCACCATATTCCTTATTTTGTAACTGTCTTTGAATCGCTCCTTCATTCCCTTCGTTCTTGGGAATCTGAACTTCTGCACAGTGTGACACCCAGCAGACCCCAGTTTGGTGCCCTGCTAACCTCCCTACTTTGGTGGGTGCCTGCTGTATATCCAGCACTGTGAAACTTGCCAGATGCAGGACACATTTTTATAGAATATTAAGAGTTTATAAATACTACAAAGTTAGGAAGATCATAATTCAGTCTTAGGTTGGCAGAAATAGGAAAATTACTGAAGTCACCTTTAACAAAAGACAATTGTTTGTTTCTGGAAAAGGCTACAACCACCACTTATGACCACCAAAGAACAGGAGAAATAGGACAAGGCAGGTACCTGGCTTACCTGGTAAACACTTTATAGAACTGTAGAGATAATTTATAGGCCACTCATTCTGTCTGCTTGATAAGTGTATCTTATTTTCCCTGCAGTTAATTTTTATGAGATACTCCAATCACATGCATGTTCAAAATTCAAGACATACAAATGGATTTGAAATCTCCTCCCTCCCTTCCTTGGCCTTAGCTTCCTTCTTCCCTTAAGGCAGCCAGTTACCATCAGCTTCTTCAGATATTCTATGAATAAAAACCATACATATGTGTGTATTTATGTATGTGTGAATTTATATTTATATATATATATATATGTATATATTATATATATACATATATGTGTGTGTGTTTTGTTATTTTGTCTTTTTGAGACAGGGTTTCCCTATGTAGTTCAGAATGACCTTAAAGTCACTGTGTAGCCCAGGCTGGTCTCAAAGTTGTGATGATCCTCCTGCCTCAGTCTCCTCAATGCTGAGATTATAGGCATATGCATCCTTCACAGAAAAAATTTGTTAAATTAAAATGAATCATTCTAGTCCGTATATTGCTTAATGGGATGTAATATATAATAAGCTGTTTGGTAAAAGGGTAATTTGTTTTGTGGTATCTGGGGATTTAACTCAGGGCCTTGTCAATGGTAGGCATGTGCTCTGATGCTGAGCTACATCCTAGCTCTTTTCACTTTTATTTTGAGACAGAATGTGGCTGAGTGTCCCAGGCTGGCCTTGAATTTGTGATTCTTCTGCCTCAGCCTCAGAGTAGCTAAGATTACATGTGTGTAATCCAGCTAGGATTACATGTGTAATTGTATGTGAGCCAGGCTTGTGCAGTGGTTATTTAATGGCTGTATTGTATTCCATTGAGCACCTCGGTGCTAGAGTGCTTACCTAACATGTTCAAGACCCTGTATCAATCCCCAGTATTGGAAAAAAAAGTCAAAAACAAAAAACGAAAGTGGTAGGAGAGACAAGAACACCCATCCTACCTCAGGATCTGTGGCCATTGAAGTAATCTACTCAGGATATCCTTGTAATTTAGACATATTGCCACAGAGTGATACCCTCATTTTCTGGAAAGCTGGTCTGGAGCAGCTCACTCCTGATGTACCAGATTTCTTAACAAAAGTTAATAGATACTTGGGAGGCCAGAGTATCTTGGGAGGAGGGTTGCAATTACAAGGTCAAGGGCAGCATGGGCAACTCAGCAAAATAAAATTTAAAAGGGGCCGGGATTGTAGTTTAGTGGTAAAGTGCTTACCTAGCATCCATGAGGCCCTGAGTTTAATCCCCAATCCCACCAAGAAAAAAAAAGGAAAAGCTGATAGGAGAAAGACAGCTAGCTGCTAGACTAAGTTTTCAGTATATCTCTAAATGTCAATTGCTGGAGAGAGACAGTCTCATTCATCTCATAGTCAACTTTATACTCACACCCATCTCAGCAAAATGTCCTTTTTTCATGCTGTGTGTGAGGTCAGAGCGGTCCTGTCACTCAAGCATTACTGGTTTTAGTCTTAGCAGTCAGGCTGATACTGTGTGACTCAAGGACCCTAGCAAAAATGACAGCGTTAACAAATTCTCTGGCCCGGTGTAAGCACTCTGTCAAGTCAATAGAGATGCCCTTGCCAGGCAAGATATTCCAAGGGCAAGGAACCTGGAAAGAGCCAGATTTGATGTGTGAAGAGTAGAGAACCAAGACCTACTGAGTTAGTCCTTTACTCAGCCCCAGGTCAGCCTGTACACATGGAGTGAGTGACACCGGCATCCCCATCTTTGCCCTCTGATGTTTTTGTAATACTGGGGACAGAACCCAGGGAACGTTGACATATAGCCCCAGTCCCACCCCCACCCCTTTTTAAAACAAGGTCTTGCTAAATTCCCAGGCCAGCCTCACATTTGGAATCCTACTGCCTCCCGAGCAGCTGAGATTACTGGCATGTGCCACCATGCCAGCTTGTTTGTTTTCTGTGGTGCTAGAAATCACACATGCCAGTGTTCTGCCTTCACTGGTTTTGTTATGCAGCCTGAAGCCCAGTTTGAGTTTGAATCCACTCCATGCCACAGCGACTGCACTCAGACTAGGCTCCAGGCCTGTGCATGTTACACACACACACACACACACACACACACACACACACGTGTGCACAGGTGGCCCGCCAGTGCATGTGTATGTGCATGTTCCATTGGGAGCAGAGAGATGTGACAAAAACAAATCTCAGATTTCTAGATCTGATGCCAGATTAACATCTTATCTACTTACCAATTAGTACCTATTAATTACAAGCTCAAAATGAGAACTTTAGAACCCAGGGAATGAGAAATCCCATATAGTACAGGGTGGATGCCTTGGCTGTAAGCTGTGGCTGAGACCTAGTTGTCACTGCTGTCCTTGGAAGGTCTCTGCTTCATCTCAGTGTTCCTTGCTGGGACCTGCCGCAGATCCCCACCCGCTCCTGTTCTGTGCTCACTGCACAGTTCTACTTCCCCTGTAGATACATGCTGCTTGTTCTACCCCATTCACTTGCCCCACACCCATCCTTCGGACTCCTAGATTCTCAGCTTTCAGTCTGTCCTCCAGCCTCCTCAGGGACCTCCTCTGTTACACACCACCCCTTAAACCAGGCCAAGAGTTCTTTCCCAAGGGCTCTCCCTAACAAAGGAACAAACGTGTATGTGTATTATGACTTTCTTTCCTGTCACCCCTATGAGACTGTAAGTTCAGTGAAGCAAAGATCCATCTGCCTTCTTCAATCCTCAGTACTTCAACGTTGTCAAAAATTTTTTAAAAATTAGACTGACTTCATCTTTTCATCCACCAGACTGCAAACGCCATCAGGACAGACTTTTGGGGTTGTTTAGTTCACTCATGAATCATTAACACCTGGAAGAGTAGGTGCTCAATAACATCTGTGGGTGGAGATCTTAGAGCACCTACTCTGCTGTGGTTTGTTTGCAGTCCTGGGGATTGAACCCAGAGCCTTCACACTGAGCTACACCCCTAGCCCTTTTTTTAAATTTGGAGACAAGTTCTCACTAAGTTACTAAGTTGCCCAGGAACTTGGACTCCTCCTGCCTCAGCCTCCCATAGTGCTTTGTGATGCTTTAAAAGAACATTCTATAGTCAAGGATCCCATGCTTCAATTCCTCACAGTGACCTTCAACACAAACCATCTGGGTAAGTGTCACCTTATTTCAGGCAAACTGTGCCCTCACAGGGTCTTTATCTGCCTATCTTGTTTCCCTTGCTCTCATTGATAAAAAAACACAGCGAAAGAGGATTTAAGAATCTGAAAACCATCCTTTTTCTCTCTCCCCTTCTCTTTCCCTGCCCTTATCTACCCTCTTTTCTTCTCCCCTTCTCCCCGCTTTGGCATTGTACTTCCAGCCCAACCAGATCCTTTCTCTGACCTTCTTATTTTTCCAGTTCTAACTTTAGAAGACTACTTTTGGGGCTCAGGGAAGAAGGGTGGAAATCACCTCATCACCTGTAATGTAAAGTAAGCACTTTGCATGTTGAACTGAAACACAGAGGGCATTTTCCAGGGCTCGATTCTCTCCTAGCCACCCTGGTCATTTCAGTGACCTTATTCTCACAGGGACAGATGGAGACAATATGACATGGCCTGCTTCTGGGAGATGGGAGCATACCTTCTGGAAGCATTTGAGACCTGTCTTCACAATTCCTGGAGTGCCAGCCCATTCTTATAGACCATGGTGCTTCTTGCTGTTTGTTCTACTTCTTCCTTGTTGGTTAGAACTACATCACTAATACATTGAGTTTGGTTATTTCTTCTGCCTTCCAGGAAAGGATTTTGATGAAGCCCTTCCTCCTTTGTTGACCTCATAACCTTTAGGGAGCACAAGCTTCCAGCACACTGAAACTTCCAGAGACCAGGGCAGCACTCCTTTGCCTGGCCTTCCAGCTGCGCACGCAGAACAAGGCACTTCTCTACACTTGTTATAACATCTACATCAGATGTCTGGTTTTCCCACCAAGTAAACATAACACACCTCTGAGAGTCTAAAAGAATGTGTCACTGTGAGCAGAAGAAACTGAGGTCTCACTGCAAATTGGAGAAGGTTTTGTCAGCTGCTTGTTACCAATGCACCTTTCCAAATGGAGGCAGGGAAATGAGTGATTTGTTAGATAAGTCAAGACAGGAAGCACTCACTGTTGGAGAAATCAGGGACCTTCCTTATAAGCCTTGGCCACCCCTACCCTCCCCTCAGGCCTTAACGCCATCCTCTGCTGCTCTGAGGCTCATTCTGCTCAGATTCATGTTTTCTCACAGCTACAAAATAAGCTTAAAAAAAAAAACTAGGACTGGACAACTAGAAATAAGCCAGACGGGGCATATAGTGGTGCACACCTGTAATCCCAGAACCTGAGAGGCTAAGGCAGGAGGATCACCAGCAATTTAAGGCCAGACTAGGCTACATAGTTTAAGGCCAGCCTGAGATACATAGCGAGACTCTCTTAAATAAATAAATAAATATCAAAAATAAATAGATATCGAATGGGGGGTTGGGGGTGTGGCTCAGTGATAGAGCCCTTGCCTAACATGCATAAGGCCCTGAGTACAATCCTGCATAGCTTGCATATTTGTGCACGCGTGCGCACACACACACACACACACACACACACAAGAGGAAAGGAGCAAGCCAGCCATGGTGGTGCTTTCCTATAATCCCAAAACTGGGAGATTGAGGCAGGAGCATTGCAAGTTCAAGTCTAGCCTAGGCAACATAGCAAGACCATGTCTCAAAATAGTCTGTGGATGTAGTTTATTTAAAAGCCCTGGGTTCAATCACCTGTACCAAAAAGGAAAACAGGGAAGGGTGATCAATTTAAAACCAAAAAATGGATGCTAGAGAAAACCATTGTCATACTAATTTCTAGCTCTGCCTTATTCCAGAAAAGTCTGTCTCAGCTTTGAGTTTAAAATAAAAAATCATTTTTTTAAATTGCCAACGCACGTATTTAAAATTTATTTAGAGCCAGGTGTGGTGGCACACATGTAATCCCAGTACTCCGACAGCTGAGGCAGGATTGCCATAAGTTCGAGGCCAGTCTGGGGTACATAGTTCAAGGCCAGCCTGAACTATCTAGTAAGATCCTATTTCAAAAATAAATAAAAAATTTTTAAATAACTAAAATTTGTTTAGGACTCTGTTCCTTATGGTGTTTGTTAGTTTTTGTAATACTAACCAAGGGCTTTCCCAGTGAACTACAATCCAATCCCTCTCCCCTTTTTGAGACAATCTTGCTAAATTGCCCAGGCTGGTCATGAACTTGCAGTTCTCTTGCCTCAGCCTCCCAAAATTCTGGGATTACAAGTTTATACCACTATAGGGCCGGGGATTTAGCTCAGTGATTCCACCGCCTGCCTCGCAAGCACAAGGTTCCAAGTTCGATCCCTGGTACCAAAAATAAAATAAATAAGTTTATACCACCATGACTAGCAGGATTTTGTCTTTGAGAGACAGCTCTAAAAAATATTTGCATGGTTAATATAATTGCTCAACAGTACAATGACACTGGGGGAGGTTGAGGAGGGAGAATAGCAAGTTTCAGTCTTGTATTAAAAAATAACTTTTTCAAATGCTGAGGATGTGGCTCAGTGGTTCAATCACTCAGTGCCCCTGGGTTCAATCCCTAGTACCTAAATAAAATAAAATAGAAATAAAAATAATTGTTAATCCATAGGGAGATGCATGGATAGAAGATTCAGAGGAAGGGAATGGAAGCCAGAGACTGTCTTATCAAGTAGGAAAAAAATAAAGCTTAAAAGTCTTCTGCATGCTTGTAATCCCAGCACTTGGGAGGTGGACGCAGGAAGATTGCCTAGCACACAATGAAGCTCTGGGTTAGATCCTCAGCACTGTGAAATAAATAGGGACTCAGGCAAGCTTGGTACACATAAAGGAGTGCATTAGTGTTGCTGTTGTGAGTTCATATCTGTATCCAGAACTATCAGCTCTACAGGAATATGGGCAAGGCTATTCGTATATCATTGTGGCTGGAAACCTTTCTCCTCAGCTCCTGACTACATTCATTTCCTCAACATTTAGGCTGTAAATGCTGCATAAATTGAGCCTCTATTAAATTACCACTGTAGTCTTTGTGACCCCAGTACACAGCAAGCAGCTGCTGAATTAGGTACTAGAGAAACAACAAGCAAAAAGCAAGTTCCTGCCTCAGGAAGCTTATGTGCTATAGATAGAACTAAAGTGAGTGGAGAGGAGAGAGCTGTTGAAAGTTCTACTCCAGAGAATGTTTGGAGACAGCCTGTCTGAAAAAGTGGCTTTTGATGGAGACTTGAATTAAATGAGAGACTGAGCCACACAAATAGAAAAGGTAACATTTGTTACAGGTTTTAAAGCTGAAACTATGGACAGACTGTATTCGAAAACCAGTAGGACTCAGGATCATGAGACAGAATTTGAAGATTTGACCAGGGGTGTTAGTAGTAGGCTTAGGTGGCCTACCGAGAACTTCCACATCTAAACAGGAAGAGTACAAGGACCAGAGTCCAGGGGGCAGTGCCAGGTCCAAGCCTGTACGGGTTATCAGGACTGGGGGGAGTAAAGAGTGTGCTGTCCTGATTCCCACAGGCACACCTGCATCCATCTCATTGTAGGCCTGTGAGCCAACCTCTTTGGCAAAGGGACTTGAGAACAAAGAAAGCAAGTAGAGGTAGGGTAGACAAGGATAGACAAAGGAATATTGTCAGAAAATGTCAGTCCCCATATGTGTTCCCTGAGTGTTTACGGAGGACCTTCTTGGGGGGGCGGGGACTACCAAAAGGTATAATCCCACTGCTTCTTGTTTCCCCCAGGAATTGGTCCGGCAGCGAGGAGTCCTAGAACGCACAGAGAAGATGGTAGACAAGATGGATCAAGACTTGAAGACCAGCCAGAAGCACATCAACAGCATTAAGAGCGTGTTTGGTGGGTTCATCAATTACTTCAAATCCAAACCAGCAGAGACCCCAGCTGAACAGAATGGCACACTTGCTCCCCAACCCAACAGCAGGTGAGTACAGCTTCCTCCATCTGGATATAAAGTAATAGAAGTAGGTTTCAGTAGCCAAAACTTTCAGGCCTACACTTGACCTACACACACCTGCACAAACTGAAAATTTAGTTTTTCCCTTTTTGTAGTGTTTTCATCATTGTAATCATAGTGTCCTCTGGTCTTATAGCCTGTTCCTTCCATTTAACCCAGAGAGATGATTCATGTAATGTGATTACTAGGTTGCACAACTATCTCTTTTAATTCTATAGTGCAGTTATTTGATAAGAGAGGAAACTTTTTTAATGAGGAGGAGATTAAACCCAGGGCCTTATATATGTTAGGTGAGCTTTCTACCACTGACTACATCCTTAGCCCAGGAGAACTAGTTTTTTAAAAATACTCAGAAGCATAGTAAAATGCATGTATCTTAAGTGGAGAGGCAATGACTATGTGTCTGTGAATACGCCACCCAGACAAAGATGTAAGGTGCTATTAGGAAGAAACTAGGCAACTATTGCAAGCTGAAGGAGCCAGTGTGGATAGTAGAAATAACAGACAAGTAGGAAGGCCCAGGAAACTGCAAGGATAGGAAGCCTCAAATGCACTAGCCAGGGTTATGAGAGTTTATTTGTGTACTGACTGAGCCATAGTCACCTGTATTCCAGATTTTCCAGCCCAATTCTAGTTTTAAATATCTGTCACTCTTTTAGCCTCACGTGGAGTTTGGTTTTTCTTGGATTACATTTACCTTACATTTACCTTACCTTACATTTATAGGTTTCATATCCCTCACCCAAAATGCTTGGGACCACAAGTGTTTCAGATTTCACAATTTTATAAGTCATGGAATATTTGCATTACTAGTTGAACTTCTCTAAACAGAAATTTTCAGTCTGAAATGTCCTGAAATCTGAAACTTTTTAAATGCCAACATCATGCTCCTAAATTTTCATATTTTGAGCTAGAGGTATAGCTAAACAGTAGAGCACTTAGCTAGCATGCACTGGTCCCTGAGTTCAATCCCTAGCATCTCAAAACAAAGTCAAATTTTGAAGCATTTTAGATTTTTGGATTAGGGATTATCAACCTGTAGCACAGGAGAAATAGAATATTCACTCATTTTGGATTAAGACATCCTCCTTGCACAAAATCAGGAGCAGAGCAAGCCCTTGGAGGAGTGGAAGGTGGACAGACTTGTGACTGGCACACTTCTGCATTCTCTATACCTCTTCCTGAAGCTCTTAGAGGGCTTACAGTCCTGAAAGCTGCTAGAAAAGCATGGTTCCAGTAGTAGTTTTCTTATTTTTATTTATTTTTATTTTTAGCAGTACATGATTGCAGTATGTGATGGTTACATTAATTATGGGAGTTGGGACATTAACATAACACATATCCCCTTCAATTTTCTTCTTTTGGAGCATTTAAAAAACTCAAGCCTTTCTAACAAGGTCTTCTCAGCAATGAAGCAGCCACAGTATTTCATTGACCTGGGCCTCAAGGTGCCAGAGTCACTTACCTTGCCAGGCCTTCTGCCATTAGATCAGCCCCAGTCAGTTGTGGTGTTCTTGTCATCCACTTACTACAAAAAAGTAAGACTATTTATTCATACAGTACTAGTAATTAGACTTGGGCACACTACCACTGAGCAACCTCCCTAGTTATTATTTTTTATTTTGATACAGGATCTCACTAAGTTACCCAGGCTGGTCTTGAACTTGAAATCTTCCTACCTTTGCCTTCTGGGTAGCTGGTATTACAAGTGTGCACTACCACACCTGGCACAGAACTTTTTTTTTCCCCAGCCCTATCTGACTGTGTATAATGTTTTTTTTCTTAATAGCAAAATATTTAAATGTGAAAAATAAAAAAAAGGGCTAAAGGTGTAGGGGAAGTGGAAAGGGTAAAGGAAAGGAAATGGGAAAAGAAAAAATATGAGAAAAGGAAAAAATAGAAACAAAATCTCTGTGAATAGGGAAGGGTGGATGGAGTGAAGGGAGGGCAGGGGTATCGGGAAAAAATGAGAACCAAGATCTATCATGTGAAGGTACAAGATCGCAATATAACTGTACTGTTATACTTAAAAAGTACCAATGAACTAAAAAAAAATAGCAAAATATTTATTGGTACATTTTAGATGTACATAATGATAACACTCATCATAGGGAATGTCTGCCTATACACGATACCTCCTGCCTCTTTTTTTCCAATTTCCCCCTTCCCTCAAGCCCCTATGTACAAAAGCTTTGTTTCCATTTTTTTCCTTCTATTTTCACTTTTTGTTCTGTCCCTTCCTTTCTCCCTCACCCCTCTCTTGTTCCCCTTCCCATTTCAACATTTTCTTCCCATTTCCCAATATCTATTATACACTTTAGTCCTTATTTCCTCTTTCGGTTTCTCATACCAGAGAAACAATATGGTTTTTTAGAAACTTAAAAAAAAAAAAAAAAACTGGTTCTCAGTATGTAGTTCAGGGTGTCTTTGAACTGTTGCCTAGACTGGCCTGGAACTCACAAGGATTCTCCTGCCTCAGCCCACCAAGTGCTGGACTTATAGGTGTGCACTACCATGCCTGTCTCAACAATGCAATATTTAAACACATGTGTCTGATTTATTTCACCTAAGAGTATGGTCCAAAGACACATCGATTTACCTATAAATGTCTCAAGCTCATCCTTATTTATGGCAGAAACTCCATTGTGTAAAATAAAATAAAATAAAATACATGTTCTTTATCCATTCGTCAGTTGATGGACATTTGGGCTGTTTGCAAGATTTAGCGGCTATAAACTATGCTGCTATAAACATGGATGCGCATATATCACTGTGGTAGGATGCTTTTAATTCTTTTGAGAAGATACAAAGAAAGGGAATAGCTGGATTGTATGGAACCTCTAGTTTTAGTTTTTTGAGGAATTGCCACACTGATTTTCACAGTGGTTGCATCAGTCTGTACTCTTAGCAACAGTGGAGAAGGATTCCTGTTTCCCCACAGCCCCTCCAGTATTTGTTATTGGTTGATTCTTGATAACAGCCATTCTTTGTGGAGTAAAATAGAATCTGAGTTGTTTTAATTTGCATCTCTCAAATGACCAGTGATGTTGAACATTTTTTCATGTATTTATTTGCCGTTTCTAATTCTTCATCTGAGAAATGCCTGTTCATTTCAGATGCCCATTTTTGGATCGGGTCTTTAAATTTGGGAAGGTCTGATTTTTTTGAGTTCTTTATATATTCTAGATAGTAGTCCCTTATCTGAGGAAGAGCTGAAAAAACATTTTCCCACACTGTAGGTTGTATCTTTACTCTGTTGGTGGTTTCTTTTGCTGTACAAAAGCTTTTTAATAAGATGAGGTCCCACTTGTTGATTTTTGTACTATTTCCAGTGCAATCTGGGTTTTATTCATGAAGTCTTTGCCTATTCCTATATCCTCAAGCTTTCTACCTATTTTCTCTTCCAGCAGATGTAGCGTTTCTGATTTAATATTTAAATCTTTGATCCATTTAGACTTTAGGTTAGTGTGTGGTGAAAAATAGGAGTCTAGTTTCAATCTTTGGCAAGTGGAAAGCCAGTTTTTTCAGCACCATTTATTAAAGAGGCTTTCTTCCGGTGAAGGTTTTTGGCCCCTTTGTCAAAGATGAGGTGGCTGCATATGTCTAGAGTTGCTTCTACATCTTGTAATCTGTTCCGTTGATCCTCAGGTGTGTTCTTTTGCCAGTACCATGCTGTTTTTATCACAATACCTTTTTAGTATAATTTCAGGTCAGGGATTGTGATGCTCCCTGCCTTGCCTTTTTTGCCCAGAATTGCCTTTGCTATTCTAGATCTCTTCTGTTTCCAAATGAATTTTAGGATTGTTTTTTCTAATTCTGTGAGGTATGCTGTAGATATGTTGATTGGGATTGCATTAAATCTGTATAATAATCTTGGAAATATGGCCATTTTCACTATATTGATTCTTCCTGTCTAAGAACAAGGGATATCTTTCCATTTTCTGATATCTTCTTTGATCTCCTTTTTCAGAGTACTGTAGTTTTCAATGTAGAGGTCTTTTACTTCCTTCATTAGATTAATTCTTATATATATTTCAGTTTTTTTGGATACTATTGTAAAAGGGATTGTTTTCCTAATTTTGCTTTCCATGACTTTTTTTTTTTTTAATTTCATCTGTGACCCATTGGGAGGGTGACTGTTTGGGAGGATGTTATTAATTTCCATGTGTTTATGAAGTTATTGTGGGTTTTTTTGCCATTGATTTCCAATTTCATTGCACTATGGTCTGATAATTTGCATGGGATAATTTTAATTCCTTCGCATTTACTTAAGCAGGTTCTATGAGCTAGTATGTGGTCTATTTTGGAGAATGTCCAATGTACAGCTGAGAAGAATATGTATTCTGAAGTTGTGAGGTGCAGCATTCTATAGACATCTACTAAATCCATTTGTTCAAAACTTTGGTTCAGGGTCAGGTATTTAGCTTAGTGGTACCACTGCCTGCCTCACAAGCACTAGGTCCTGAGTTCAATCCCTGATACCAAAAAGAAAGCAGTTTGGTTCAGTTCTGATAACCTTTCTGTGATCCTTTCAAAACCTTCAGTCCATAAATCAGGAATATTGTCATTTAAAAGCTGTTAAAAATAAACGTCTCCTGGCTATCATAACTTTTCATGATAACCTACACTGTGTTCCCCACACACAGTATGTCTTGCTCTTACCCTCTTTCTCTACTCAGACCAAGACCAAGATTGCTCTGCAGAGCCAGTATCTCTCCCACTCTTCATTTTTTCTGTCTTGAATAAACTTTGCCACTGGTTAAAAAAGAGAGTATCTCCTAATCAAGTTGCACTTCCTGTGTATGTCCTTATCACATAAGCCACTGCTCTCTCTGCAGTCTTGTGTGTCTGTTAATAAGTCCCCTTTTTTTTGGTACTGGGATTGAACTCAGGACCTTGTACTTGCTGAGCCACTTAGTTATATCCGATACCTTTTTTGTTTTTTAAAGAAAGCCTTGAGGGCTACGTCTGGAGACTTTGCTATGCTGTAGGACTAAGGGCCTACAAAACTCTTACCCAACAGGACATGGGACTTGCTGTGGGAGGGGCTTGTTTTTATGAGTAGAAAGTCATTAAAGACTTTCAATTAGGGCCAGATATTTAGCTCAGTGGTTCTGGCGCCTGCCTCACAAGCACAAGGGCCCAAGTTTGATCCCTGGTACCAAAAAAGACTTTGAATCTGAAGCCAGGCAAGATGGTAGCACTGAGGAGGCTAAAACAGAATTGTTGTGAGTTCGAGACCTTCCTGGATTACATTGTTCAAGACCACCTCAAACTACAAAGCAAAACCCTGTCTCAAAAACAAAAGAAAAAAAAACTTTAACCAGAGAGTTATATATCAAGGATCTTTTTATAAAGATGCCTGGCACCCATGAAAAGTAAGGATTTGAGAGGAAGAAGTCAAATTTAGAGCATTGACATAATCCATGTAAGGACAGAGAGAGGTAAGACAGAATGGGCTAGATTTCTGGGATGCTTGAAGAGTGGGAGACCCAAAGGATATTTGTTTGCACAGATTTCTAGCACTATGTAGAGGGGAAGGCAGAAATTAAGAACCTGGTATAGTGACCCACACCTGTAGTCCTAGCTACTCAAGAGGCTGAGGCAGGAAGATTGCTTGAGACTAGGAGTTCAAGTCCAGCCTAGGAAATGGAGATAAATCTCATCTCATCTCAAAAAAAAAAAAAAAAGTATTAACTGTAGTCAGGCTGTGATTGGGTAGAGATGGAGAAGACCAGGCTGTTGGGGCACGCAGTCCTAGATGGAGGCATCTGCCATGTTCCTGGGAGTCTAACAGGATGTCAGGCACAGTCTGGTCAACGCTAAGGTGTAAAAAGAAGTCACTGTCCAAAGTCAGAGTCAGCAGGTGAGGCTTTGTGGGTCAGGAAGCAAAACCAAAGATCTCTTAAAGAAACTTACCATATATAACGAGAGGGAAAAAGACAACACCCACAAGTTTTTAGTGACACTCCAAAATATGAAAACAGTCAGCTGTGGTGGGGCACACTTGTAATCCTAGCACTCAAATTTGAGGCCAGCCTGGGAATGAGACCCTGTCATGGAAAAAAAAAAGTACTGGAAAGAAGAAGAAGAGGGGCAGATGGAGGGGAGTAGGAGGAGACAAGTTTTTACTAATGAGAAAAATGAGATTCTTTCTTCTTTCTCAGCACTGGATATTAAATCCAGAGCAGAGTCCCTGCACTGAGTTACAGCCCCAGTTGTTTTTTTTTTTGGTTGGGTTTTGTTTTTTGTTTTGAGACAGGGTCTTGCTAAGTTGACCAGCCTGGACTTGAACTTACAGCCCACCTGTCTTAACCTCCCTCAGTGCTGGGATTTCAGGCATGTACTATCACACCCAGTGAGAAGAATGAAACTCTTGATGTTCTAAACTAATGTTCCCTATTAACCAGTCCAACAAAAATGGTCATCTGTCTGTAAAGGCCATGTGTTGCTCTTGGCTCCCCAAAAACAAATGATAGGGCTGGGAATTTAGCTCAGTGGTGCTGCCACCTGCCTTCAATCACAAGGTTCCAAGTTCAATCACCAGTAGCAAAAAAAAAGGATAGAATTTTATCATGTGTGTATATTACAACAATTTTTAAAAATGGGTTACAAAAAATAGCAGTAGGCCAGCTTTAACCCACAGGTCATAATTTGCTAACCCTTGGTCTAATGTACCCATTTGGTGGTTTCATCTACTTTTCATTCACCTGGTCCCAGGACTCCTCATTTGCCTGTGCAAGGGGCACCCAGCAAGATGCTGCACTTCTAAAACAGTGAGCTTCCAGAGCTCACCATGAAGCTGACTATACTGCCAAGAAGGGCTGTGGAAATCCTTGCTTTCATTGAGAGTCTGGCACAGGGGAGGCATTTGATTTTCAGCTGACAGGCATCAGTTGAAAAGACTGATGACACTGTCAGAGGTGTTTTTTCCTTTTTAAATGTTTTCTTTTACTTTTATCCAAAGATTGAAAGAAGCCATAAGTACAAGTAAAGAACAGGAGGAAAAGTACCAGGCCAACCACCCAAACCTCAGAAAGTTGGATGATGTAGGTGAGTAGGGACCTGTGTACACACATCTACATTTGGATCCTAAGGGGCCTCTATATCAGACCTTGGGGGCTATGGGGAGCAGCTGCCTCTCTAGTGTGCAAGGGGTCCAGCTGCTGCCATCTCCTATGCTAGTTGAAGAGCCATGTGTGCCTTCAGAAAACAGTGTGTATTATATGGAGTTCCTTCCTCTCTCCCTCTACTCTAGACAGTGGATTAAGAAAGTAGAGGCCTGTGTGCCCTTGAAAATGAGCCTGCAAGCCATTGATTCGTACATGGTATAGCTTTGAGCTATTTCATAGTGAAAAGCTTCCTACAAGACCCCTCTGATTTGTAATGTGTTGTGTATATGTACCAAGTCCCTATGAGAATATGACCATTATATACTAAAGAATGTACAAAAAAAACTGGGTATGGTGGCACACCCCTGTAATCTCAATACTCTAAGAGGCAGAGGTGGATTGCTACAAGTTTGAGGCCAGGCTAGACTATCTGGTCATTTGAAGACCTGCCTGAACTATATAGCAAGACTTTGTTTCCCAAAAAAAAAAAAAAAAAAAAAGCTGGGGATTTAGCTTAGTGGTTCCAGCGCCTCCACCCAAAAAAAAGAATTACAATATATCATGTACATGTACCAGCTCCTCACAATGAATGTAATCATTATGTACTAATAAAAATAAATAAAATAATAACCCATTTGGTAAGTATGTTAGCCCTTAGAGCTGTCCACATCCTAATCCCCAGGCCTCATGGGTATGTTAGGTTGTAGACAAGGAAATTTACAGTTATAGATAGAATTATAGTTGTGAGTCAGCTGATTTTGAGATGGAGAAATTATCCTGTTAGCTGGGCTTAGTGTCATTACAAAAGTTCTGTATAAGTGGAAAGGGAGGCAGAAGAGAGAGTATAAGAAAGAGGTTCAAACCTAGTACACTGCTAACTTTGAAGATAGAGGCAGCCAGCTGCCAAGAAATGCACATGAACTCTAGAAGCTGAAAAAGGCAAGGTCTCTGATTCTTCCCCAAAAGCCTATAACCCCGTTAATACCTTGAACTTAGCCCATTGAGACCCATTTGGAATTCCAACCTCCAGAACTGAAAAATAAGTCTGTGGCAGTTTGTCACAGCCCAGGAAGAAACTAATATAACCCCCAAGCCCAGAAGAGGACAAGCAGCAGCGTGGACAAGCTAGACAGGGTATGTCTCAAGCCAATCTATGTCATTAATATTAAGTGATAAATCCAGAAACATCTTTATCTGGAATGGAATTTAGATCCCTAGGAACTGCCATGGACCTTAGAAAGCCAAGCACATAGAAATGGTGCTAGAAACCAAATGTTGACTGAGTACCCTTCAAGAAGACAAGACACATCCCAGCAACACCAGAACCTACTGTAGATTCAGGTGTGGGGCCACATGCCTATAATCCCCAGAAGTCTGGGAGGCTGAGCCAGGAGGATCACAAATTAGAGCCTAGCCTGAGCAATTTAGCAACTTATCAAAAGCTTGCCTCCAAAAAATTAAAAGAGCTGGGTGTGGTGGCGCACAACTGTAATCCCATCACTCAGGAGGCAGAGACAGGAGAATTGCCACAAGTTTCAGGCCAGCCTGAACTACACAGTGAGACCGTGTCAGGGCTGGTGGGTTGAAGGGAGGCCTGGTCATGTGAGGTTTCCAAAGAAAAGGGCACATGTGGAACAAACATAACAAAGCAGGAACCAAACTTTAATTTGTAGTACAGAACTTATAGTATTCTTTATCAGCTTACTGAGAGAGTAAGACAAAATATTCTGAGCGACTTTACAGAAGCCCCCATCCTGTGCCTGCACCAAATGACAGGATCATGTTCTCAGATGCCTTCAAATGTCCTCAGATTCCCAGGCTTTGACACATCTCACAACAGCTTCCTACTTTCCATCCTTTCAAAGATCAGGGGGCTGCCACTTCTTGTGAATGGCACACAAGGCTACCCAGAGTCCACAAAAGCAATTAAAGAAACAACACATAACAATAGCAACCCCATTGCTATTGCACCACCACTGAGAGGTACCCAGTACCAGATGGATCCTAGGGATTCCCACCATTGGGTCAGGGGGTCTTGTTGCAAGGCCTGGATGGCAGACACTCCATATCCATCTCTTGGAAGGCCTCTTATACTCATTCCTTGTTTAGGAATAAAAACACAGTATTTTCCATATAGGAGGGCACAAGTGCCTTCCTGTGCTGCAGTCAACAAATCCAGAGCCATACAGTTCTGTAACACTACCTGTCTCATCTGGGACGTTTCATCCATGAGCAGCATCAAAGACTGGTGCATGATATTTAAGGTCTGTACCATGTGTTTAGCTGAACTTTCAACTTGGAGGGCCAGGTCTGTAGACCCTGCCTCGGGCACCAGTACTGCCATAGGATAAAGCCACCAGGCCACTCATTTGACATAATGCCATCTGTGGGGTTTGTCTATCAGAGTGGCCCTGATAGGGCCTTTAATATAGGAAAATCCCTATGTGCAGTGCCCTGTCCAGTGCTTAGGTATGGCCAATCCATAGTGCCACAGACCCTTAAGACATCCACCATGGGCCAGTGAGAGGGCACTGTACCTATGAGCTTATGGTCATCCCACCAGGCATTTGTGTAATTTACCCATAACTTATTCTTACACAAGTGGAAGGGTATCTATCCCACTGTGTGATTTCCCACCGACACTATATATTGACCTGTTCAATATATAGTGGGACAGTATCCAAGAGTATTACTTGATTCCCTGTCACCCACTCCCAACCATTATGCATCATAGGTCCCAGTCCTTGTGGGTGGTTATGCCCTTCCAGATCAGTGCCTCAGCAGCCTGGCATCACTGATCCCAAGCAGCTCCCATCTGGTTCTATTGTCCACTTGCACAGACAGTCTAATGGTTGCAGTTCTCCACAGAAGGCCTTCGGCCACATCCATAGGGAGTTCAGTGCACACCCAACAGTGTGATTGCTGGAGCACACACGAGCAAATGTGTGTGCCTAGGGGATAATGCTGTTAGCTTGACTCATCTTGGTCAGAAGGACAGGGCAGAAAGAGAAACCATCTTAGGGAGGTCTCGCCCTTCAGGGAGGATCCAGGCCACATGTTCCATCCTATAATAGGCTGATGACCGGGGTCATTATACATCCTGGTTTAGAATACCAGGCCTGTGTCCCTGTTGCCACTGGAGGCAAGGGAGTTGGAGCCAGGTCTGTAACCCCTAGGAGAATTGGCCAAGCAGCCACAGTGTCACTTCCCTTTAGAATGGTGGCCCTGGCATCAGATGGAGAGCATACCAAGGCCTTCAGGTGTCATATTGAAATCTAAGGCTAAACCTCTGTGTAGCGCAGTCCCTCCTAACAGGGCTCCAAGAGAAATACCCAATTCCTCAGCAGTGAGCCTGTGGGCCACTCCTAAGTCCATCGGTACTGGGTCCCCAGCCACATAGGTTCTAGTGTGGGAAGGATCAAAGCCCCTTTTACCACCTTAGGACCTTGCTCTGCTGGTCAAATGCACAGAAGAGTTGTGTGCTTTCAAAAGGCAATCCAATGGGCTGTATGCCGGGGCTGGTCACTGAGCAGTTGAACACCTGTTGTAAGGCCCACGCTCACCTGATAAACTTTGGAGCCAAATAGGCCAGCTTAGTTTTCAAGAGCCCATTATGTCTCTCAATCATACCAGCAGCTTGTAGCCGGTGGGGCACATGAAAGTACCAGGTGATGTTATTGTCTCTGGCCCATTGTTTCACCTGAGCCCCTGTAAAGTGGCTTTCTCAGTCAGATGCTATTCCTAGCAGCATCCCACATGCTGCAATCAACCATTGTAATGCTTAATAGTATGGTCCGGGTCAGCAGAGGGCACAGGGTAGGCAAAGCCCATTCCCATGGCAGTATCCACAGCAGTTAGAGCATGTTTATGTCCCTGTGAGAGAGGCAGGGGCCCAGTATAGTCTGCCTGCCATTGCTGCAGGGGATGAGGTCTCCATGGTATTGCAGCCAATTGGACACCCTCTTCCTCCAAGGGCCAGTTGGACACATTGAGGACAAGTTTTTACTGCTGCTCTTGCCTCTCTGGAAGTCCAAATGCCATCGCTGTGCTACAGCTTGCATGGTACAGGGTCCTACAGGCTCCAATTTCTTAAGGAGCTAAGGCACCACTGCTGAGGGCGGCCCTCAGAGGGCTGTTACCCTTATCAAGGAGTCTGCTAAATCATTCCCTGGCAAGGGGAGAGGCCTATGTCCTAACACATGGTATACCACATGTATTAGGGTCTGGCCATGCTCCCATAAGTCTCGCCATAACTCAGCATCCCTTAGGGGTCAATGACCTATCTACCAGTCTTGGGCCACCCAGGTCAGTAACTAGAGTATCAGCCTTCAGGATATGGCCCCACTGCCTGTGCAGACATGCAGAGGTTGTTCTCATAAATGACAAGTAACCACACTGCCCACAACTCTACTGTCTTGACTTGCCTATCCCAACCTCAAACCAGAGTGTCCCTCTTCTGGGTTGGACCGCAACCACCATCTGTTGTGGGGTTGTGCCACGACTACAGCCATCAGTATGGTATACCAGACCTCAGCCAGGGGTCTCTCCTTCCCTTCCACATAGGACTAGGGGTCATGATCGGTAACTCCTCCTGTAGTTTCTTTGGCCAAGTATGTCCTCGGACGGGACATCCATGTGCATACCCAGCCCTCTGTTGGGTTCTTAGTTTGCACTTCTACAGCCTGTTGCCCTGTAATTCCTTCACAGGCATGCAGAGCAGCACAACTGCTTTTTAACCAAGGAATACCTGCTTTCAGCTCCTTTCCACAACTGTGACCAAAAGCCAACAGGGTGCTTCCATTTCTCTTGCTTTCACCACAAACCCTAGCCAAACCCACCCTCATCCACATTCACCATTAGGGTGAAAGGCAAGGTAGGGTCAACAACTCAAAGGGCCTACACTTGAACGACTGCCCTCTTCAAGTCCTGGAATGCAGCTTCCGCTGCATCAGTCCAGCCCCATGTCGCACCATTTCAAGTCATCTAACATAGAGGGTGCAACAAGGTGTCTATGTACACAAGGAAAGTCCACCAGAAACCTAGCGCAAGTGCATGTACACTGTAATGGTGTACAGTTGTCGGTCTGTGCCACAGGTCAAGCCTGAGGATGGCCCTTCATGTCTTCCCTGCTCCCTTCTCCTCCATAGATTACAGACACATTCTGTTTGACTCATATTGTAGACCCGGGATGGCACAGCCCAGGGAGACAGTTACCTTGTATCTTTCTCTGGTCCCTTCCTGCACATGCCCTGATCACGAAACAATCACCTAGGCCACAAAGGCTACATAACACTGTTTGCCCCTCCTTCTCTTCCTCTTTGCCTTCCACTGTAAATAAAGAGCATGGGGTGCTCCAGGCAGCCCTTAGCTCCTGACAAGCTATGGTTTCACCTGGCCCCAGTTAAGAGTAATCTTGGCAAGGACTCGAGTTCAATCCCCGGTACAAAAAAAAAAAAAGTTTAAAAGAGTAATCTTGGTCTTTGTTGTCTTTCTTCATCTCCCGGCTCTGGACCGTATGCTGTGTAGGTCACGGCAGGTCTGGGGTATGCCTGGATCTTATCAATTACTGCATCGAGGATAACTTTTGTCTTACCAGACCAGATGACACCCAAGAATTTGACAGATAAACCAGGGCCCTGGACCTTGTCTTCGTTGGTGGCCTGCCCCCAGGCCAGCAAAGCTTCTTTTACATTGTGTGCCACAGCTTCCAAATCTGTAAGGCGATTAGAAGTTAACATGACCTCATCAACATAATGGGAAATGTGACCAGATCCGGAGCCACCAGGATGTGGCACAAAGTAGGGCTATGCATATACCCTTGTGGCAACACTTGGGAAGTCCATCGTCTGACCTCCCAGGTGAAGACACACTGGTCCTGACACTCAGGCCTGATAGCAATGGAGAGCATGTTGGCCAGGTCTACTACACAGTGGTTTGACCAAGGTCAGTGAGCCGGTCCATCCAGTCAGCAGTATTGGCTCTTGCTGCATGTGGTGGAGGAGTCACTTTGTTCAGTTCCCAGCAGTCCACTTACTCTCTTAAGTCCCATTAGGCTTCTGCACAGGCCAAATGGGAATCAAAAGGACTTTGTGCAGGGCATGTCACCCTTGCGTCTTCCAACCACAAAACAGTCTGTCCTATTTCCTCATGACACCCAGGCAGCCAGTACTGCTTCAAACACAACCCGAGTTGCCTGCAGGAGAGTTAATGGTGCGTGATGGGGATATCCTCAGACAGTATTTTTTAATCACGTGAATCCACAATCTGAATTCACCCTGTGTGGTGTCTAACCTGGCACCACTCAGTATGTCGATCCCCAGTATGTATTCAGCAAATGGGGAAACATCAGAGGGATGTGGGGCCAAGCACCCGATGCCCAGGGTCATCTTGGCCTTCCAGGTGATAATGTAGTGACCTCCTATGTGTGCAGTGGGTCCTGTGAAATGGTCTGCATTGCCATGGATAAGTGTGTATTCGGCTCCAGTATCCACCAACACCAGGACACTGCACATTTTTCGGGGGCCAATAAATAGTTAATTCCACATGTAGCCTCCAGTCTCGAGGGTCCCTAGAAACTGTACCTCAGCCTGTCTCTTAGGCTGGGTAAAAGGCTGCCAGCTTCAGCTCATCCTGTTTCACAGGGGCTGCCTTTACCTTTGGGCCCATGGGCCAGTATTGCTGGTCAGGACACAACTACTTCTACCCCTCCAGCTTCAGACCTGTATATCCAAAGAAGACCCTGGAACTGATCTCACTTGGATGTAGACTATACATTAAATCAAGAAAGAGATGTTTCCCCCAAAGACATAAATTGGAATGACAGAGCTTTTTTAGTCTGTGTATGGAAACTGAAGTTCAAATAACATTTTGGGGGTCAAATGTGCATTCTTTAATATTTCCACTTTGCTTAAGTGAAAAGATAGCCTAGAAATAAATTTCCAGAGGACTGAGGTTATAACTCAGTGGCAGAGCACTTGCCCAGTATGAGTCAGATCCTGGATTTAATACCCAGAAAGAAAGTTCAAGAAGAACAAAAATATCGAGTCCCACAACATAACAATCTCTCTCTCTCTCTCTCTCTCTCTCTCTCTCTCTTTTTTTTTTATTAAAACAGGTTCTGGGCTGGGGATTTAGCTTAGTGGCACTGTGCCTGCCTTGCAAGCACAAGGTCCTGAGTTTGATCCCTGGTACCAAAAAAAGAAAAAAAAAAAAAAAGAAATAGGGTCTCACTAAATTTTGAACTCAGTATTCTCCCACCTCAGGCTCCCAGATTGCTGGAATTACAGGCATGTGCCACCACACTCAGCTTAACTTTTATTTTATTTTGATTTGGTTTGGGGGTTTGGGTTTGGGGGTTGTTTTGGTTTTGTTTGTTTTTTTGCTACTGGAGGTCAAATTCAGAACCTTGCACTTGCAAGGCAGGTGGCAGAACTACTGAGCTAAATCCCAGCTATTTTTGTTTTTGACAGGGTCTCCCTATGTAGTTTAGGCTGGCCTTGAACTCATTATGAAGCCCCACATTGCCTTGAACTTACAGCGATCCTCTGCCTCAGCCTCCCAAGTGCTGGGATTAGAGGCATGAACCACCATACCTGGCTCATAGGTTTTGATTTTTAAACCTTGTCTCTGCTAGGTACAGTGTCACCCACCTGTTAGTCCCACCTACTCCAGAGGCCAGAGCAGGAGAATCACTTGTGCCCAGGAATTCAAGGCGAGCCTGGGCAACATGGAAGACCCATCTCAAAACACACATACATACATAAAAATAAATACAAGTAAATAAAGGAGGCCAAGAGGTGTGGCTCAGTGGTAGAGTGCTTAGCATACACTGGATTCAACGCCTAACATCCAATCAATAGAGGGAAAAAAAATACTTTGGCTCCAGACCTTGTCCATGAACCTATGTAATTTTGCATCAGTACAGTTCCTCTGCCATGCTATTATTTATTTAATGTATTTTTCCAGAGCTAGTATATAAGGATTGGACCAAGTAACCAGTTTTTTAAGACAAAGTCTTGCTACATTGCCAAACGTGGGGTCAAATGATCTTCCCATCTCAACCTCACTACATAGTTTAGTCTGGCCTTGAACTCACTAAGTATCCCAGTCTGGAGTCAGCAATCCTCCTGCCTCAGCCTCCTGACTAAGTGTGCCATCACACCCAGCTGGGTTAAGGGTCTTTAATCTCCCAAGGGCTGAGGAAGAGGCTGGATCCCTGACCTGCCCCCAAGGTAATGTCTCCCTCCTATCCATGAATCTGCCCTGAGCTCCTCCCTTGTGCACTGTATCCTTCCCTATCCCTATCCCTCTGCATGGTCTCAGAGCCAGCCATCACATTCCTTCTACCCATCTCCCAAATTGGGAGATTCATGATAGAACTGAGGGGTGGTGTGGCTCAATGGGGGATGTGGACTGACCATTCTCCTGGTGTTTCTTTCTAAATTCAGACTCCCAGACTAGCTCTGCTGTGAATACTGAGGCTTACCCAAAAAACCCACACCTTCAAGCCTATCACCAGAAGATTGACAGCAACCTAGGTAAGACTGACAGGTGTGCCAGCCTCCATAAGTGACTTGTCCTCCATGCACAGGGAGCTACTGGTTAGTTGCTCCCTTGTCCTATGTCACTCCCCACAGAATCACTATCGCAGAAATCTATCCACTTCTCTCCTTGTACTTCCTTTAGTTCCCACCAAGCCACCTTTACCTCTTTCTTAGATCCTGACAGCAGCAGGGACCTAAGAATCCCTGTGAGGGCCTTAGCACTGCAGCCTGCATCCCACCACCTGTTCTGTCTTTCCCACCTGGCCACATGGTATTCCCATTTCCTCCCCTGAAATCAGCTGTCCCCGAGGGATGTGGGGAGGGTCCCATGAGCCAACACCATCAAGCGCTTCCTGGCCTGGTAAGAGTTAGCACTCATGTTGGCAAATGGCCAGAGTAATCTTTTAGGAAAGAATTCAGGCAGTACGTTCTTCTGAAACACTCTCGAGGATCCCCCCACAATTCGAGTCCAGGTTTCTTGGCTCAGCTTTTGTCCCCTTCCTACTCCCACCTTTCTTCCCTCATCATTGTGGGCTGCTATGAACCTTGTGGTCCCAGTTAAATCCTCCTCATGTCCCCATCTGCCTGGAGTTTCCTTCCTCCCGGTTCTTTGCAGGCTGACCCCTTCTCATGCCACAAGGCGTGCTTTAGTGTGGCTTCCCCTCAGAGTCACTGGGAACCCCAGTATTTCCATAGCGCGGCTATGAGTAATCCTCTATCTGCAGCTTTATCCATTGTCTTACTGACCGAACCTGTCGATTCCAGGAGGGCATGGGAATGTTGCAGGTACTTGGGTTTTTCAGTTTTTGAGGTAGGTACTGAGGACTGGACCCAGGAATTTACACACACAAGACACACATTCTTGGCTGAGCTTCATTCTCAATCCTTTTTTATTTTTCTTAATTTTGAGACAGTGTCTTACTAACCAGCCCAGCCTGCCTCAGCCTCTCAAGTAGCTGGGATCACTGATGTATATACCACCAGCAGTATTTACATTTTGCCACTACTTTATTCACTGGGCCCAGTAGGAGCACTTAATTTTTTATTTTGCTTGTTTGTTTTATTTGTAAAAGGGTCCTCTATGTAGCCAAAGCTGGCCTTGAACTTACTATGTAGCTCAGTCTGCCCTCCAACTCATGATCCTACTGTATTCCTCCCTCTCCCAGCTCTTTTTTTCTGTCTTCCTTGGATTAAATGATGGTTGTAGTCTAGTAAGAGACTTTTCTTTTTGTTGTTGTTTTCTTGTGTTTTGTTTTGCTGAGAACTGAATCAAGGGCCTTTGCACTAAGCTGCTTTCCCCACCCTTTTTTAATTTTTTATTTTGAGACAGAGTCTCATTAAGTCACTAAGTTTTCCCAGCGGGCTTTAGCCTTTAATCCTCCTGAATCAGGCTTCCAGAGTGCTAGGAATACAGGTGTGTTCCCTTATGCCCATCTTTCTTTTGGCCACATTTTGTAGCTCAAGTAAGAGAAACGGTTATATAGTCGATAAATGTTGTCTTTCTGAGTATTAAAAAATGTTTACATAAAACACGGATTATAGAGGACAGACACAAGGGCAAATAAATAAAAGAACTATATTTCCACCACCCACAGGTCAGCACTGTTATCTTCCTTGGGAATGTTAACTTGTTTCGTTTTGTTTTTCGAGATGGGGTCTTGCTCACTATGCTGCCCCGGTTGCTCTCATACTTCTAGCATTGAGTAATTCTTCTACCTTAACTTCTGAATATCTGGGACTGTAGGCGCGTGCCACCATGCCCAGCCGTTAGCACCTTAGACCTGCATGGTAGGTTTTCCCAGCAGCAGCAGGGAAGAGGACCCATCTCAGTATTTTCCACATCCACAGCTTTCTGCCCCAAGCCCCACCTACCCTTTGCCTTGACAGCCCAGGAAAGCTCAGCCATCTGTTCTGTCCTGTAGACTTAGCCTCCGAAGCCAGAGACTTTTCTTCTCTAATGCAGAAGGTGTGTTTGCCGAGATCTGACTTCTGAGATTAAACCCAAAGAGGCTCCAAAGCCCCTTGTCCTTCATCAAGAGAAAGGAGTGGCAGAAAACCACTTTATCTTTGATGTCTGCTGGCAGGGGAAAGGAGAAGGGAGGCCAAAAAGGAAGCTGAGTTCAAGAAGTGAGCAGGATAAGGGCTGAGGCTGTCCACCACTGTACACTCAGCATTAGCCCTGGCATGCACCCCAACGCACATGGTGTAGAGCCGAGGTGGGGAGGTAGCCAGCTGGCCCTGCTGACACAGAGCCACACTGGCACTTTTATCCATACGCCTCCTCCTTCCCCATACCCTCCCCTTATCTTAGCACTCCTGCAAGCCACCTCTGACTTCCACTTCCTTGCCTCACCAGGCTCTCTCATGTTTTAATATCTTAGTCTAGTTGTTTGCCTGGCCTTTGCTGCATCAGATCCTGAGAAGCTCCCCGATGCCGGAGGTGACCACATAGGTCATGGGTTTCAATAACCTCAAGAAGCATAGAAGCCAAGTAGGGTGGTATATGCTTCTAACCTCAAGACTCGGAAGGCCAAGACAGCTTTGCAAGTTCAAGACCAGCCTGGACTACGTAGTGAGTTCAAGAACAGTCTTGACTTATCTAGAAAAACCCTGTTAGAAACAAAAAGCACCTAAACCAAGAAGCATGAAACCAAAGACTTATAAAACAAAACAAAACTGATTTTGCTTAGAGTTGTGGTACCAGTGATAAATACTTTCATCGGAACTAAGAGGGCTCACAAAGGACCACCTCTTCTCTTTTACCTCTGGCTCTTTCCCAGCCCACTGTTCTCAGTACAAGGGCAGAGAGCAGACTTGGATGTATTCCCCTACCTGAGTGTACATACATGTGCGCAAACACACTTGAGCACACCCACTCTGTGACAAAACCTGGAAGGAGGCAGAATCAGTAGGTAAGACCTGCCAGGGGACACTAGAGTCCCTCAGCATGCCTTTCCCTCACCCCACCCTCTCTTCACATCATTTTGGGATTATAGGCATGAACCACCATGCCTAGCATTCTTTACATCATCTTGTACCAAGTATACTTTTCGTACTCCTAAGGCTGGCCAAGTCCTTGGAGCCATTATCCCTCTTAGAAATGAATGTTAAATTGACCATAGTGGCACATGCCATAGTCCCGGTTCCCCTAAGGCAGGGGAGTCACTTGAGTCCAGGAATGCAGGGCTAGCCTGGGCAATATAGTCAAGACCCCATCTCAGAAAGTCAAAACAAAGAAAAAAAAAGAATATTAAAACCGTGTGGGGCTGGGGATTTAGCTCAGTGGCACCGCCCCTGCCTTGCAAGTACAAGGTCCTGAGTTCGATCCCTGGTACGGGGTGGTGTGGGGGTGGTGACACACACAAAATGAGTGTGGTGGTGCACATATGTAATCTCAGGACCTTCAGGCAGAGGATTGCAAGTTTTAAGCCCAGCCTGGACACCTCAGCAAGACCGTGTCTCAAAATTTTACAATCTTTTTTTCTTTTCAAAATTGTAAAATTTTAGGGGCTGGGAATTTAGTTCAGTGGTTCCACCGCCTGCTTCACAAGCATAAGGTCCTGATTTTGATCTCTGGTACCAAAAAAAAAAAAAAAAAAAAAAATGGTTTTTAAACTTTAAATGCGCTAGGGATGTAGCTCAATGCAAAGACTCTAAGGTCAATCCCTAGTACTACAAAAAGAAAAAGAAAGCAGGGAGGCAGGGAAGAGCAGGGAAGGGGTGGGGGAAAGAAAACCGGAAAGACCTAAAGAGAGAAGTAAGTCAAAGGATTCTACCATCAGAGTAGCTTGTTGTGGCTAATCTGCTCCTAGGCATCTTCCTCTGCTCACCTCAGCTTCTGGTTGAGTCTTGGGCAAGCCAGAACATGCCTAAAACACAGGGACAGGATTTGAATTCAGACCCAGAGGAACTGTCCTAGTTCTTCCATGCTTCATCTTGTACTATACTTTCCTCCTCTGAAACTAAGGCACTTTCTCATCATGTTCAAACCTGAATTTTGACAACAATGGTGTAATCTGTTACAAGAGTAAAACTTTTTTTTTTAACTAAACTTTATTTTATCCCATCCCCCCCAACTCCTTCCCCTCCCTATGTAGAAAAGCTTTGTTTCCATTTTCCTTCTATTTTCACTTTTTTTCTTGTCCCTTCCTTTCCCCCACCCTCCTCTCTTGTTCCCCTTCCCATTTAAGAGTAAAACTTTTGAAGCTGGGTGCTGTTATGCACACCTGTAATCCCAGCCAGCCCTCTGCGAAGTTGAGACAGCAACGTCACAAGTTCAAGCCCAGGTTGAGCAACTTAGTGACCCTGTTTTAAAATAAAAATTTTAAAATGGTTGGGGGTGTAGTCCAGTACAAAGATCCTGCTTTTAATTCCAAGTATCACCACCATCAAGATAGAGAGAGGGAGGGAGAGAGAAAGACAGAGGAGAGGAGCCTTTGACAGAAGTTGTGTGTTTCAGTTACCCAAGGCTCTGCCCACTCAGACCCCCCTCAGTATTGGTTCTTTGACCTGGGGGCCTTGGACTACAGTGTACCTAGACCACTGTTGTCTTCCTGCCCACAAAATAAGCAAAAGACATGGACCAGTGTGGTTCTGAGAATTGCAAGCCAACTGGTAACTCAGCGATTCATGTGTTCATGGCTCTGGAAAGTAGTAGCAATGAATGAACAATGTGGGAAAATATGTACTTAATAACAGGGTTTTCACAGTATTTGGGTCCTATAAAAACATCTGTAGATAATTGTTTTCTGGCAGAATTCCCCAGATAACAGGACAGGGATAGAATCACTCCAGCTGCCACCTGCCAAGTGGGCTGGGGATGCGTCTTCTGAGGAGAGCTTGGGGCTGGAGCAGACAGTGCAGGGGCTCCAGCTAGACAGGTCTGTCTCTCAGAAATGGGGATTCCCCATATTTGCTGCTCCAGTTCTATACCAGATCCAACTGGAGCTAGAGATGGAAGGAGAGCAGGCCCTGCTCAATTCAATCCACTCTGCAGGTTGTTTGGCTCCTAAGGAGCAGGCCAGTATGATAGGCATGGTGGCATATGCTTGTAGTCCCAGGTACAGAGGAGGCTGAGACAAAAGGATTGCTTGAGCTCAGGAGTTCCAGAACAGCCTGGACAAGAGAGTGGCATATACCTCTTCCATGTCTTCACCATGAAGTATGAGAATAGAATGTTTTTCAGGCTATTCTGTTCTTCTCTTTTCTTTGAATACTAACTGATCTTGAAATGTGTAGCCACCTACTAGATCAGTGATGGCAAACCTTTAGAGATCCAAACTGAACCCAAAACCCACTTGTTTATAGTATAGCAAAGTGCCAACAGTTGCAGTTAAACCTGAATACTGAGATTTTAGCTTAGAACAACAACTCTTATCCAGCGCTTAGCTGCTGGGGTGACTTGGTTCACGTGCTGACAGAGAGGGCTCCGCATGCCCACTGTGGCACACATGCCATAGGCTCACCACCACTTCACTACGTGGTCCAAAAGCACCTGAAATTTTGTAGGTCTGTATGCATTTTTTGAAATACTGAAAATGGCCAAGGACATAGCTCAGTAGTACAGCAACTTGCCTACCATGCATGAGGGCTCAATCACTACCACCAGGGGAGAAAAATACTGAAAAGACAAAGAGTTATAACAGTGGTTATCCTGGAGCAGGTGAGCAAAGACGTCTTCTACATTAAGTTCGTACTACTTTTTCTACCCCCTGGTACTGGGGACTGAACCCTTCACAATGAGCTACATCTCCATCCTTTTTTTATTTTGAGACAGGATCTCGCTAAATCACTCCACATATTTTAGAAAATTTAACCAAAGCCCTGGAGCTTAGCTTATTTTAAGAGAAAGAAAACTCAATTATCCAAGTGTTACTAAATACCTGGGAGGAACCAAGAAGCATTTCCTGGTGCCACTGCTGTATCTGCTCAAACCTGCATGTCATTTCCTTCTCTCACAGATGAGCTATCCCTGGGACTGGGCCGCCTGAAGGACATAGCACTGGGGATGCAGACAGAAATTGAGGAGCAAGATGACATTCTTGACCGGCTGACAACCAAAGTGGACAAGTTAGATATCAATATAAAAAGCACAGAAAAAAAAGTCCGACAACTCTAAAGATAGAGGAGTTCTACTCTATTATGATGACAATATTTGAAAGATCTCTTTATAAACTCCCAAGAAATTTCACTTATTATTTTAATGTGTGTTTGCAAATGCTGTCACTGAATAGATCTTAAGAGATTCTTGTTGTGATGAAGAAATGTGTGTCCTCTTTGTCTCGGGGCTGACACCTCCTAAGTTCTTTCAGCAGAATGTTGAGAGTTTGGTTCTGAGCACAGTAGCCCAGCCCTGAATATCTTAGGCCTTTGACTGTCATGCTGGAATAAGTTGAAAAAGTTACATTTTCATGAGTATATGCAAAGATAAAAGCAGAATTTCAGTCTTGCATCCACTGCCCTTCATTTCCCTATTGGCTATCTTTTTTTTTTTTTTTTTTTTTTTTTTGGTACCGGGGATAGAACTCGGGTCCTTGCACTTGTAAGGCAGGTGGCAGAACCACTGAGCTAAATCCCCGGCCTATATTTCTTATTCCTAGACCTTGTGAGTTCAATGTTTGGGACCCTGGGGAGTCCCCTCCCATATTTTTGTACAGGAGACATCGTCTGCATACACAAATGTACCTTGTGTTTCTCTCCTTTCCCTGGAAAAGGATCAGTGTTAGATCTGGAAGTGCAGTGTCGCATTCTTTGCTCTTTTGTTGACAGATGTCACCTCATGCCCTTTGTCGTCGGCATGCATTTTAGTAGAAGGGCTTCAGAGTAACACCTGGAAATGTACAGGGAATTGGGCAAGCCCTTCTTCCCCACATGCCTTCTTATGTTCACCTGTGGTTGGGAGTAGATTCTCCACTGACTCAAGGCCACGTGGCTGACAATAGGACACCCTGTGGAGATTTGGGGAACGAGAGCGTTACTCAGATGTGGACAAGCGGTGGCCTTCCTCCACTAAGCCTGACACCCCACCACTGCCAAGCTTTAGTATGGCAGTGTTTTTTGGGTGCTCAGGCCTCCCGCACCATCAGGACTCCTACTCACTCTTGTACTTCTTCAGGGTGACATTTAAATCATCACTTGGTTCCCTGCCACCCAGTTTTAGGAATAAAACTTCACAAATAATGCTGACCTTATATGAAAGATTTGGCTAAAGAAAAAAAAAACTCATATAATTTTTACTAGCTCAGCTTGTTCTCTGTATTCATTTTATAAAAGGAATCATCTGTAAAAAAAATTGGTTTTTGGTTTTTTGGTACCAAGGATTGAACTCAGCACCTTGCAGTTTCCAGACAGGCAGCAGAACCACTGAGCTAAATCCCTGGCCCATCTGTAAATATTCATTGCAATTGATTTCTAGAATAAAATTAAATTTGGTACCTCTGTCAGAATTATTGAAGCCACAAGTCCCCTATCTTTTTAAAAAATTAGATATTTTGAAGATGGTGAAAGGAATTGATTTTAGCAGGTATGGTAGTGCATGCCTATAATCCCAGAACTTGGGAGGCTGAGGCAGGAGGATTGCTGTGAGTTCAAGGCCAGCCTGAACTACATAGCAAGACCATCTCAAAAAAAATAAAGTAATTAATTTTAATAGTGATAAGTCATAGCACCTGTAATTCCAGCACTCTGGGAGGCTGAGGCAAGAAGACTGATTCCAAGTTTGAGCCAGCTCAGCCAGCGAAAATTAGCAAGACCTTGTCTCCAAAAAGTTAATAATAATAATAAGGGCAAGGCATATAGCTTAGTACAAAGGCTATGAGTTTAAAAATAAATAAACTCATTTTTCTTGCCAAATGGGATCCACAAAACAGATTTCTAAACAGGTGTGGTGGCATATGCCTCTAATCCCAGCACTAGAGAGGCTGAGACAGGAGGATTGCTATGAGGTCAAGGCCAGCCTGGGCTACACAGTGAGCTCAACGCCATCCTGAACTACACAGTGAGACCCTATCTCAACAAAAGACCAATTTCCACGGTTTAGCTGGAAACAAACTGTGCCTTCAAGTAAGTAGCTTTTTCTAACTTTAGGTCAATTATATACTAAGTGTGCTACTAATAAAAAGAAGTCCATTCTCTTTTCGAGGAGACTGTTTATAACATCTAGCACTTTATAATTTAACAGCAGTGGAATGACCTCATGGTTGTCTTCTTTGTATTCTGTAGGACAGGAGACCTGAACTTAAGTGGTGAGAAAAAAGTACAGCACTGCATTTTCTTTCTCATAACTTGTTATTGTGAATATATAATTTTAAATTACACTACACCAATTTAGTAAGTTCACCAGTGTTGTTAAGCATCTTCAGCTCTGATGAATGAAATGATTTGTGTAGAAATTGATGAACCAAGTCATTGTATGTGCTCATGTTTCAGGGAAAGGTTGGGGGCTTTTTGTTTAATCTGTATTGCGACAGCTTGTCCTCCATGTCTTCAACTCTGCAGATGAGCATATTCCATAAAATAAAAGGTGAAGTTTTTCAATCAAATTCTGTCTCCTTCATAGATGTTTTCAACATGTTAGTGGGGATCCTTGTAGAGTCTTCACGTGTTTGGTCCTTAAGCCAAATTTAGAAACCTTTTGGCTGGGGCATATGACTCAGTGGTACAGCACTTACCTTGCATACATAAGGCCCTGGCTTCCATCCCAGCACTTCAAAGAGAAAAAAATGAAAGCTACTCATATCATCAAGAACTGTTCCAGTCTATCTTCGAACTCTTCACTCCTGCAGCAAGACACCAGGCAAACATCTGCATATTTTTTCATTCCTTAGTCATCTGTCACCTCTCTCAGTAAATGGTATCACCTCTCATCTAATATAGTGGCTTGGCAAATTTTTTTTCTTTTGTCCTGGAAATTGAACCCAAGGCATTTGCACTGAGCTACATTCCCCAGCCCCTTTTTTTGAGGGGAGGCGGGTACCAGGTATCAAACTCGGGACATTGAGCTTGTGAGGCAGGCTGCAGAACCACTGAACTAAATCCCAAGCCCTTAATTTTTTTTTTTTTAATTTCAAGACAGGGTCACTAAGTTGCCCATGTTGGGCTCAACCTTTCAGTTTTCCTGCATCAAACTCCTAACTACTGAGATTACAGGCATGCACTTCCACGCCTGACTTTAAACAAAATTCTTTTTTTGGTTTTTTGAGACAGGGTCTCACTATGTAGTTGAGACTGACCTGGAACTCACTATGTAGCCCAGGCTGGTCTTGAACTCACAGCGATTCTCCTGCCTCAGCCTCCCAAGTGCTGGGATTACAGGCGTGTGCCAACACACCTGGCTCAACAAAATTCTTAACAGCCACCTGTTCTAGTTCTTGAACTCACAGCGATTCTCCTGCCTCAGCCTCCCAAGTGCTGGGATTACAGGCATGTGCCAACACACCTGGCTCAACAAAATTCTTAACAGCCACCTGTTTACTCCATTTTCTGTCGCTGTAATTGAACACTACAAACTAAGAAATTTATAAAGAATAAAGATTTATTAAGCTCATGGTTCTAGAAGCTGAGAAGTCCAAGGTTGAGGGGCCACACTAGTGCAGGCCTACTTGCTAATAGAGACTTAAAATTTAGCAAATACCTGTAGAGATATAGAGATTAAATGTTTTAAGCCCACAGGCCAAATAGTCTATCACAGCTATTCAATTCTGCCCTTATAGTACAAAAGCAATCAAAGAATACATAAATGAGTTTATTTATGAACATGGACATTTGAGTGTCAGAAGTTTTTTTTCACAATTCACCGTACTAGGAATTGAACCCAGCACTGAGCTGCAGTCCCAGTCCTTTTTTTTAAAGATGGTCTGCTAAGCCTCTAAATTGCCCAGGCTAGGCTTAAAATTGCATTCCTCTCATTTCAGCTTCCTAGAATGTGGAGATTACAGGTATGTACCACCATGCTCAGCTCATCTTGGAAATTTTCATTTGTCCATGTCTCAGAGGCCACACTGGTTTTGGTGGATATCATCTTTGGACGTCATTGTAAATAAAGAATGATGAAGATTTAAACACAAGCAGTGGGCTTCTGGGGAGATGAGGCACAGGATATTACAGAAGAGGCACAAAAGACTCACGGTGGCCTTTTCCCTGTAAGGGAAGGGCCACAGTGTGGGATGTGGATTGGAATTGACAAGAAAACCAGGAAAGTCCCAAAAGAAAGGCAAGGGAGCCCAACAATGGCACTGATGAAGCCTAAGCAGCAGTGACAGGATCAGATTTGGGATTTATAAGGATCATAAATAAGAGCAAACAAAAACATCCCCAGAAGCCACCTAAATAGAAGATGATAGAACATATTATTACTGTTGCGGCTGTAAAGTTTTCAAACAGCATATAGGGTAATGCTTATGAGATTAACATTATGGGGAAAGAATGGACATAAAATAATTACTGCATACAGTATGGTCCCAATTTTGTGGAAAAGCAAGATTTGAATTTTTTTTAAATTGACTTTTATAACAAGACTGAGTAGGCTAAAGAGAAGACTTTGGAAACTGTCCAGGCAAGACCCAGACGCTGTGGCACATTCCTGTATCCCAGCTACAAAGAAGGCTGGGGCAGGAGGTTCACGAATTTGAGGCCACCCCAGGCAACGTGAAACCCCACCAGAAAAATTAAGAACCGGCCCAGGCAAGAGCTGGAAAGGATCCCCAAGGGATAATAGGACAGGAAGAGGAATAGGAGTTTCCAGGCTTTAATGATTAGACAATGAGGGATGATGGAGAGGCAGAATTTGATGACAGCACCCAGGTTTCTGGCCAAATAAGTTAGCAGACACTGTTTTGTTGTTGTTCTGTTTGTTTTTGAAGTGCTGGAGATCTAATCTATAGCCTCATAGAAGATACACAAGCACTCTACCACTCTACTCCAGCTCTATTTTGTTTTCTGAAACCCGGTCTACGTAGTTCAGGCTGCCCTTGAACTCACTGTGTAGCCCAGGCTGGCCTTGAACTGAAGATCCTCTTCATGCCTCAGCCTTCCAAGTGCTGGGATTACAGGCGTGCGCCACCCCACCTGGCTCCTCGGCTCTTTTTAAAAACATTTTTATTTTGAGCCAGGTCTTGCTAAGTTGCCTAAGGATATGTGCAGCAGCACACATCTATAGTCCCAGCTGTGAGGTCAAGACCACCCTGCACAACATGGCAAGACCCCATCTCAAAAGACAAACAGGCTGGGAGCCTAAGTCTGTGGTAAAGTGCTTGCCTAGAATACATGAGACACTAAGCCTGATCCTTAGCACTGCCAAAGGAAGGCGGGGGTGGGGTGGGGGCAGAACGCCAACGAGAGGTGCTCAACATCCTGAACTATAATACAAAAGTGCGCTAAACGTTTTTAAGTGCACTCAACTCCATGAGGGAGTTTCATGGAGTGGCATGGGTGTGGAGTGAATGTTCAGCAAGAAGAAGGCAATTACTCTCGTAAACTTGGCTGTGAAGGAGAAAGACAGGG